CAGAAAACATCAAGTCCAGATGTATTCACTGGTGAATTCTACCAAACATTTAAGGAAGAAATTATATATATTTCCTATAAACTCTTTCAGAAGATAAAAGCAAAGAGAATACTTCCTGACTCATTCAATGAAACCAGTATTACCTGAAATACCAAAACCAAATAAAGACATTACATGAAAACTACAGAGTCATCAATATTTCTAATGAATACAGATACAAATATCCTCCACAAAGTATTAGCAAATCAAATCTACCACTGTATAAAAAAGCATTACACCCCACAATCAAGTGGGATTTATTCCAGGCATACAAGGCTGATTCAACATTCAAATATCAACGAACATAATCCATGAAATGGCAACCCACTTCAGTATTCTTGCCTGGAAAATCCCATGGATGGAGAAGCCTGGCAGGCTACAGTGCACAGCGTCACAAAGAGTCAGACATGACTTAGTGACTAACACTTTGACATGATATCAATAGGCTAAAGAAGAAAAGTCACATGATCCTATCAAGATAAGCAGATTCAGCACTTGACAAAATTCAAAACCCATTCACAATAAAAAATAAAAAACAAAAACTCGCAGCAAACTGGGAGTAAAGGGAAACTTCCTCAACTTGAGAAGAATCTACAAAACACCTACAAGCTAACATCATCCTTAATGGTGAGAGATGCAAAGCTTTCCCACTGAGATCAGATCTCCCACTGAGACCATTCTTTTCAAAAATGTAGTAGAACTCCTAGCTAATGCAATAGGAAAATAAAAGATACAAATTGAGACGAAAGAAAGAAAACTATCTTTGTTTGCAGATGACATTGTCATCTAAGTAGAATATCCAAAAGAATCAAGAGATATACTCCTGGAACAAATAAGTGATTAGAGCAAAGTTGCAGGATACTACGCTAGTATTAACACAAAAGTCAATAGCTTTCCTATTTACCAGCAAATGAACAAGTGTAATCCGAAACTGAAAACACATTACCATTTATGCAGACACTTCCCGAAATGAAATACTTAGCTGAAAATCTAACAAAATATGGATGAGATCTATACCAGGGAAGCTATAAAACTCTAGTGAAAGAAATAAAAGAAGAACTGTATAAACGGAGATCTATTCCATGTTCATGGATAGGAAAACTCAATATTGTCCAGATTTCAGTTCTTCCAAACTTGATCTACAGATTCAATACACTATCAATCAAAATATCAACAAGTTATTTTGAGGATATCAAGCTGATTCTAAAGTTTATATGGAGAAACCAAGACCCAGAATAGCCAACACAATACTGAAGAAGGGCAAGTTGGAGAACTGATCCTACCTGACTTCAAGACTTACTAAAAAGCTATAATAATCAAGATGGTATAATATTGGGAAAATAATAAAAATAGATTGATGGAACAGAATAGAGAGTAAAGAAATAGGCCAACAAATACAGTCAACTGATCGTTCACAATGAAGCAAAGATAATATAGTGGAGAAAAGCTAACATTTTCAACAAATGATGTTGGAATCACTAATCATATACATGGCTCAGGCACACACACACACACACAAAGAATCTAGACACAGATTTTATACTTTTCACAAAATTAACTCAAAACATACCACACATTTAAGTAAAATACAAAACTGTAAAATTCCTAGAGAGTAACACAGGAGAAAATCTAGATGATTTTGGGTATGCTGATAACTTTTTAGATATAGTACCATAGGTAAGATGTATGAACGAAATCATTCATAGGCTAGACTTCATTAAAGTTAAAAACATATATTCTACAAAGAACACTCTCAACAGAATGAGAAGACAATCCATAGAGTGAGAGAAAATATTTACAGAATACATATCTGACAAAGGGCCCAAAGAATCTTAAAACTCAATAATGAAAAAATGAACAACTGGATTATAAAATGAGGAATAAAGAGACAACTCAAGAAGATTCAAAGATGGCAAATTAGTATATGAAAGGATGTTCATCATCACGTCATTCAAGAATTGCAACTTAAACAATGAGATACCACTACACACCTGTTAGAACAGCTCACACCAAGGATGTGGAACAACACGAATTCTCACTTACTGCTGGTGGGAATGCAAAATGACAGTCACGATGGAAGATACTTGGACAGTTTCTTACAAAACTAAACATACTCTTACTATGAAACCCAGCAGTTGCACTCCCTAATATTTACTCAAATAAACTGAAAACTTGTGCCCAAACAGTTCTGCACATAAATGTTTACATCAGCTTTTCTCATAGTCGCTAAAACCTGGAAGCATCCAGGATGTTTTCAGTGGGTGAATGGATAAATAAACTGTGGTACACACAAACAATGGAATAAAATTGGGAGTAGAGAAATCCTCACAGCTGCTGGAATGAAATAAATGGTTTGCCTCTAAGCAACTAACCTTTTAAGTAACTGACCTTCTGTAAAATATTTGAATAATGGTTAATTATCTCTCAAACCTACTTTGAATACAGTAAGAAGCTGTATACATCCTAGAATCCACTCTAGAAGTTAAGCAGGCACAGGACTAAATTCTCTTTTGGAGGCAGTGAAGAGGGAGTATGAAGTGAGTGAACCTGTGACGCAAAGACTGAACTCCTAGAAGTCTCTTCACGCCCGTCAATTTGGGATACTTCAGGCACAAAATGAGAGTCCTTAGGTACACGGCTTTCTATAATCAGGCTGAATTATACAAATTCTGCATGCAAAAATCATCAGACTTTCATCAAGAAATTGGTTTGTTGCTGAAAAATCAATCAGAAATAACCCCATTCCAGGTCTCTGGACAAGTAAGAATGCCAAAGGATGCAGACATAAACACCCTAGCACATACAGCAACAGCAAAGGCAAAATAAGTTACTGAGGCCAGGTTACTGCTAGTGTGAATTGGCTGCAACATAACTTTCAAAAGCAAAAGACTAGACTATATATTACTACAAAATAGCAATGTTTAAAAAAACTAAGTATTTCAGTTTATTCTGGTTACACAGAGAAATGTATAGCCCATGCAAAGCATAAAATTGTATGTGTGACAATAAAGTGAGTTCAACCTTTATTGCTAATAAACAGAGACATTATATCTTCAGCTCAAGGAATAAAATCACATTTGTGGTAATAAAAGTCTTTTGACCACAGGAGTTTGCTTGTCATTCTCTTTCCATTCTTTTCAAATCTATTTATATGCTTTAAAATCTAAACTTAGGTGGCTAGGTTAATATTTAAACTTTTTCTCAAATAAAATGTTTTTATATATGTTTTAAACTTTTCTATAGGAGAAAAAAATATCACTCTTACTTTAAAATTCAGTAAGCACAAAAGACCAGATCCTCCCTTAGAAAAGTCTGCTTTAGAACTTAAGTGGAGAAAATCAGAAGGTGCCTTGTAAGAAAAATGTATATATATACTTATGATCACTAAGCAGAAAAAAATTTAAATATATTTATTTATTGAAAAATCATTTCCATGCAACTATTAAATTCTTTTTAGAGTTAAAAATGTATTATAGCTGCTGCAAACCCTATAAATTCATTTAAAAAGCTACCCATAAACCACAATATTTATGATTCAAGAGAACTTTGAAGATGCTTTGAAATATTATACTTTTTTACCTAATTAAAAAAGTTAAAAGATTACTTTTTATCTCTGCCTTGAATTTTTTAAAAAATAAAACATTTTGAAAAATACTTTGTTCTAAAATAATATAGCCTATCCAAATAAAAGTTTCACTCAAGGAATATATGTTAAAGTCATAGCTTATAATTTTGAAATAAATGCTTTGAAATACACAAGAGAATCTATGTAGAAAGGTTAAGAATATAGGTGACAGAAGCACTAATTAAAACACCTACATTTAAATAGAGTGCTCGCTAAATAGACACTACTCCAAAAGGACATATAGATAGCCAAACAACACACAAGAAGATGTGCAACATAACTAATTATTAGAGAAATGCAAATCAAAACTACCATGAATTATCACCTCACACTGGTAAGAATGGCCATCATCAGAATGTCTACAAATAATAAATGTTGGAAAGGGTGTAGAGAAAAGGGAACCCTCCTATACTTCTGGTGGGAATGTAAATTGGTGCAGCCACTATGGAGAACAGGATGGAGGCTCCTAAAAAACTAAAACTAGAGGCACTGTGTGATCCAGCAATCCCACTCCTGGACGTACATCCAGAGAAAACTATCATCTGAAAGGAAGCGCGTGCCTCAGTGTTCTCTGCAGCACTATGTACATGAGCTAAGACATGGAAGCAACCTGAACGTCCACAACAGAGGAAGAGATAAAGAAGAGACAAACGAACACTACTCAGCCACAAAGATGAATGAAAAGTGACATCTGCAGAGACATGGATGGACCTAGAGACCACAGTACAGAGTGAAGTCAGTCAGAGAGAAAAACAAACATTACACTGATATAACATTGCTTTATGTGGAATCTAGAAAAATGGTAGAGATGAACTTACTTGCAAAGTAGAAATAGAAACTATAGACGTAGAAAACAAATTTATAGTTCCTGAGGGGAGATGCCGGGGGTGGGATGAATGGGGAGGTTGGGATTGACATACATACACTACTGATACTGTGCATAAGATAGATAACTAATGAGAACCAGCAACAGGGAACCCTTCTCAGTCCTCTGTGGTGACTTAAATGGGAAAGACATCTAAAAAAGGGGGAATGTATGTACACATACGGCTGATTCACTTTGCTGCAGAGCAGAAAATAATACAACATTGTAAAGCAGCTAAACGCCAACAGAAATTAATTTAAAAAATGGAGTGCATGTTTAGTCATGAAAAATAGTTTCAGAGAGCAAAAAATAAATACTGTTAATCCATATAAGAATAAATTTTCATTGGACAAAGATATTCTATTTTCCTATGAAACAGAGAGAGATTTTTAAATGTGCAGACATGTTTTGGAAAGATGCTCTTGAATAAATCCTTATTTTGTGGTGGTGAAGAATAAATAACACACGTACCCTGTTTTGATAGGTAGCATCTTTCCAGTCTTCGCTCATGAGAAAATCCATAGAGGAGATATGCTTCTCGTAGGGCACTGTTATACCACTTATTTTTCTTACATTTTTCTGGCTAAAGAAAGACAGAAAAATAGTAAGATTCATCTTTAACTGTATAATTTTAACATCCTCTTGGTTCAGCTGTTGAGCTTGAACTGAAACTAAGCACTGTACAATACACTAGACTTGATTATTATTTTTTGGAATATTTTAGAAAATAGCAAAGTTGGGGAAATTTTGTATGTTAATAGCCAAAAGGGCCAGATTCTCAATTCACTAAGATATTTTAATATGATTTATCTCAGACTTAGTTAAGACCACCAGTGTAACAAAGTAGTGAATATTAATACATTTTATAAGAATAATTTTGATTCTTCTTTAAGCAACAAGGCAATGGTAATGAAATGATAAAAATTGAAAGCCATAGTTTCTTACTGTAGTAAACCTAATTTCATTCACATGCAGTTTTGGTGTTACAGCAGATAGCTGGCATATTCATACAATTTTTTGAAACTTTCTGTGCCCAATTTCTTCACCTGTAAAATGTAGCTAATGCACTCACCATAAGTATTAAAGGAAACATTAAGTATTAAAGGAAATAATAGATGAGAGTTTTCTGGCATAATAAGCAATCAATACATGTTATTCTACTTTAATACAGTTCTTTTTCTAAATATATATTCAGTTTTTTAATAATATAACTTGAGAGACTTCCCTGGTGGTCCAGTGGTTATGCTGCCAAAACAAGAGGGATGGGTTTGATCATGGTTTGGGAACTAAGATCCCACATACCATGTAGCATAGCATTTTTTTTTAAATGACAGCTGGAAAATTTAATTTGAAAAGAAAAATGGAATAAAAGAATCTTTAGGTTAAAAATGACTGTAAAAATTATATGGCCTAGCAATTTTGCCAATGTTATTTTAGAGCTTGTCTCTAAAAGGCTTTTATGATGCTTACAAAATTTACAATTTATAAAATGCATGCCATCATTTTCTTTTTGCCAACTTCAGCACCAAAAAGAACACAGGTGTTTTTTGTTTGTTTGTTTGTTTGTTTTAATTTTTTTAATTAATTAATTTATTTTTTTTTATCACAACCATAGTGTATCTTTTTTTTTTTTTTTTTTTACATGTATTCCCCATCCCGGTCCCCCCTCCCACCTCCCTCTCCACCCAATCCCTCTGGGTCTTCCCAGTGCACCAGGCCCGAGCACTTGTCTCATGCACCCAACCTGGGCTGGTGAACTGTTTCACCCTAGATAATATACGTGTTTCAATGCTGTTCTCTTGAAACATCCCACCCTCGCCTTCTCCCAGAGTCCACAAGTCTGTTCTATACATAGGAGTCACAGGTGTTAAATTGCATGTGATCCTGGACACTATTTGGCATAAAAGTCGTGAAAAAATACAATCAAATAAAAATCTATTTTTGTAAATCAAACAATAGATTTTTGTACACAGAATACCTAAATTTAATTTATTAAGTTATTTCATAGGAAAAAAGAAAAGACAGATACAATTCAAAAAAACATTAGATAATTTAAACTAATTTAGGAATATCTAAGCTATAACAACATTTGCAGATTTAAAACATTTTTACCTCTCAAATATTATAATGATGCTAAGTTAAACATTTATAGGACTTCCCTGGTGGTGCTTCCCTGATAGCTCAGCTGGTAAAGAATCTGCCTGCAATGCAGGAGACCCCAGCTCGATTCCTGGGTCGGGAAGATCTGCTGGAGAAGGGATAGGCTACCCACTCCAGTATTCCTGGGCTTCCCTGGTGGCTCAGCTGGTAAAGAATCTGCCTGCAATGCAGGAGACCTGGGTTCAATCCTTGGGTTGGGAAGATCCCCTGCAGAAGGGAAAAGCTACCCACTCCAGTATTCTCTCCTGGAGACACGGACTGTATAGTCCATGGGGTCACAAAGAGTCGGACATGACGGCCACTTTCACTTTCATGGTAACTCTCTAGGGGTGCAGTGGATAAGAATCCACCTGCCAGTGTAGGGGACACGGGTTCAATCCCTGGTTTGGGAGGATTCCACTTGCCACAGAGCAACTAACCCCACACAGGGCAACTACCAAGCCTGTGAGGCAACTATAGAGCCTGTGAGCCGCAACTACTGAAGCCTGTGCCTACAGCCTGTGCTCCGCAGAAAGAGAAGCCACTTCAATGAGAAGCCCCCACAACTCAACGAAGAGTAGCTTTTGCTCACCACAACTATAGAAAGCCTGTGCAAAGCAAGGAAGACCCAGTGCAGCCAAAAATAAATTAATTAATTTTTTAAAAGATTTTATAGATAATTTATAGATAATGAAAAATCACCTATAAGCTATTATGTGTGTGTGCTCAGTTGCTCAGTCGTGTCCAACTCTTTCGGACCCCATGCACTGTAGCCCGCCAGGCTTCTCTGTCCATGGGACTCTCCAGGCAAGAATACTAGAGTGGATTGCCATGGCGTCCTCCAGGGGATCTTCCAGACCCAAGGACTGAACCCCGCATCTCTTGCAGGAGGATTCTTTACCACTGAGCCACCTGGGAAGCTGTTATAGCACTAAACAACTAAAGTTAAGGAAATTTCTTAAGGAAAATCAATGCAAAATATTCCAAAATTAAACCCTGGTGAGTTTGGGGAAAGAAAAAGCAATTTTTAAACCTGTGTCTGAGAATCTTTAAGAATTTATCAGTAAGTATGTGCCACCTAGTGGTAATATTACAATTAAACATCTAAAGAACTCAAACTCTTGCTGTACAAAGATTTTTGAATTTCAGAATAAGGCTCAGATATGCAACGTATTTTCAATTAGTTTGTTCTTTGATTGAAGAAGCGATTCTAAAAGTGTAGAATGTGCCTCCCTGTCCACCCCGGTACTGTTTCTTCCAAAGGCACCCAAAATTACCAGTTTATTTCACAGTCTTCCAGAGACACTGTATCCACTTACAAGCATTTACATCACTTAAATATCTATTTTTACAGAATGCTATTAACAGCTATATACTTTGAGTTTTTCTATTTGTATCTTTAAGATTTCTTCATTTATAGATTTATTCAATGTATTTCAGACCTTCAGGATCTATCACTGAAGAAAACAGATGAAGCTTACAATCTAACCGGTGAAGTAAGCATAACAAATACATAAAGGCTCTAGTTTAAGAGGCTGTAAGTATTCTGTAATAAAGAAAAGGTGAGGCAATAAAGTGGTTCAGGGAAACTCTCATTGAAAAAGTGACATTTGAGCACAGATCTGAAAGAGGTCGAGCAGCTACCTGAGATATCCTGAGAAAGAGCACCGCGGGCGGAGAAAAAATGCTCTAAGACGGGAGAATGCAAGTTTACTCAAGAGGTATCAAAGAAGGGAAGCTGGTTATGAGTGAATGAGAAAGAAAATGAGTACCTCGGAATGATGTCCAAAGAATTAACAAGGACCAGGTCATGGAGGTCCTTGCAGGCCATTGCAGGAACTCTGCAATGAGTTCCTGGCTTTTACTCTGAGTGAAATGGAAGTCACTGCACATTTCTGAGCAGAAAAATAAAATTTGATTTGATTGAATGCTTTAAAACAATCAATCATCCTGCTTGCTTTAATGAGAACAGACCACAAAAGCAAGTGTAGAGTGGATGACTGGCTACTACAATCATCCAGGCAAGACATGATGGTGGTACAGTCCAGGTCATAGCAGCCACTGTGGTGAAAAGTGATAGGATTCCAGGTATAATCTGAAGGTAGACCAAAAATAATTAACTTCTTAACCAACTGGAAATCGGTTATGAGAGGTAGAGAGGATGACTCTAAGGCTCTGGGACCAAGTAAGTAGAGGATGGAATTTGCTATCCACTGAGATAGGGGAGCTGTCAAAGAAGTGAGATGGGGGTGGTGTGGAGATCAAGAGTTCACACATTTTGAATACACATTACCATATCTGAGGAGCACTCTCATAAGGGGATTCAGTAGAGAGAACTGAACTGCAGATAAAATGGAGGAAACACACACAGACACCATATTTAAAGCCAAGAAATTAGAATAGATAACCATGGGAATGAGGAAACAGATGTATGTATATCTAAATAGGTAGTATACATGTACCATTATTTATTTTACAAATGCCCTTGTGATGGACATTTAGGTTTCTTCCAATATTTTGCAAGATGAAACAATGCTGCAATAAAAAATTTTGTCCATATGTCTCCTTACCCATGTTAAAGTGTGCTGAAGCATAAATTCCTAAGACATTGAACTTAAGTAAGTATATTTTACATTTTGGAGCTATTGTGAAATCACTCTTGAATGAGGTGGTCAAAATTTACAATGCCATGAACAGTATGCTTTGTCACATCCTGGAGAACACTCTTGTTACCAAACTCAGATCTCTGCCAATATTTTTAAGGAAAAAATGGTACTTCCTTTCTATTAGAATGCTCATTTCTAAAATTCTTTAATTTTGAGTAATTTTTCACGTTTTTCCAGTTTTATTGATATATAATTGACAAATAACTGTATAAATTTAAGGAGTACTACACAATGATTTGAATTATATATATATATGGAAATTATTACCACGTAGGGTTTATTAACATATATCAACTCACATAATAGCCTTTATCTATGTGTATGGTGAGAACACTTAAGATCTGCTCTCAGCAACTGTCAAGTATAAAAACACAGCAATGTTATTAATAACTATAGTCACCATGCTATACATTAGATTCCCAGAATTTATTCATCAGTTTTTCGTATTTTTTCTTTTTTTAAATTTTAATTGAAGGATAATAATTTTATAATATTATGATGGTTTTTGCCATACATCAACATGAATCAACCATAAGTATACATATGTCCCCTCCCTCTTGATCCCCCCTCCCAGCTCCCTGCCCATCTCACCCCTTTGGGTTGTCACAGGGACTTTGGGTTCCCTGCATCATACATTAAACTTGCCACTGGCAATCTATTTCACATACGGTAATGTATACATTTCAGTGCTATTTTCTTGAATCGTCCCAGCCTTTTCTTCCCTCACTGTGTCCAAAAGCCTGTTCTTTATGTCTGTCTCTCCTTTGCTGCCCCTCGA